GAAGGGTATGATGGGCAAAATCGTACGTTTCACAGGGGTTTGAGGGCTTCCCATAGCCTGCCCAAGGGGTTTCGCGACATCTTTCCACTCATTGGGAACCACTCCATGAGAATGTGCTCGGCGACTTCGAGCAAGAGTCGAGGCGTAGTCGATGACGCCCCTGAATCTTTCTTCGGTCGAAATAGACAGAAGATTCAGTATGTCCACGAGAGGAGCACCTTCCTGGTTGAGAATGGTCTGACCAGTCCGCACTACAGAAGAGCCATCCGGACCAGTAACCTCAATCGGCTGTGGTCGGCCAGGCACGGGATGGAAAAGGCCCTCCGAGGGAATCCGAACACCTAGGTCAAAGCCTCGCTTCTGAAGCTTCTGTTCGAGGAGTTTTGTGATCAAGAATGGTTCCTGGATGTGATACTGTGCTCGCCTTGCTGCGATAGTGTCCTCGCGAGTCGGCTCATTAGGATCTTTGAAGGGAACATTTGCCTGAGAGGACGGGCCGGCGAAAGAGTCGTGCGTGATCGCCGGTTTGATTTGAGGCAAATCACCGAAGCTGGTCGAAGCCGAGGGAGTTCCCGGGGCAGAGCCTTGAGAGGTGAAGGAGGTGCTGATAGGTGGTGGATATTGAGTCTGTGGTCCTCGATTGGGAGGCTGCGCCTGCGCATTCTGCCCTGAAAAGCTCTGTGTGAGAAATGCTTCCTCTTCCCTCACATCAATTCCAGATGACGCTAGGACATCTGTCAGATCAGCAGCATCTGTTGTTTTGTCTTTATCCACTGGGCGAGAAGGAGGACCCATGGTCCCGGGAGGAGCGGGGGCAGGTGTCGCCGACATGTTCATATTCATGTTCATCGGTGTTCCGTTCATTGGAGATGGGTTTTGTGGTAGCTGCACCGCGTTGAAGCTCGGAGAACCGTAAGGAGACTGGGTCTGAGAAGGCGGCAGAGGAGAGAGGCGAGGTCGTTTGGATGGCGGGGGTGCAGCGCCTCCATTCACAGGGGATGCTACCGAAGTCGGGGATGGGGACGAGACAGGTGGGGAGAAAGGTTGGGAGGAAAACTGCGGCGGTGGCGGGGGTGCCTGCTGCTGTGGATGCCGAGCTTGTGCCATTGTGACTGCCGAGTGAGAGCAAACTTGGATTTTAGATGAGATAAAGGCTATTGCGCCGAGCCGTCGTAGCCTTGTAGATGAATGGAGGTCCACGCGTGGGCGTTAAACTGAGCGGATTGCTCGCACCACCAGCTTCCACCACCTTTGACCATCTCAATACTGAATTCGAACCATATACGCGACACGTAAATCGTAAAATAGTTGGCTCGAGCGCAAAAGTAACCGTAATCGGGGAGACAGTGATGCGTGATGTGGTAAGGAGCTTTCTAGGTGGTCGAACTCTGCTCCGCGGATCGCGGATCGCGACACACGTGACTAAGCTTGACTAAGCTCCCCAAATCTGCGGGTGTCTGCTGCAAAAGAGATCACGCCTCTATTGAATCACATCCAATCTTCAAAGGTGCATTGGCGTCTGCTTTAATACCCGGAGCAGCTGCAGCTACTATAACTTACGTCGCGCAAAGTCATGGGTGTTGCGCTGAGCTCATATTGAGATCTTGGGCTTTATCGTGCAACGCGGGTGCTAGTACCCTTCAACTAGGCTTCTCAAACCCATAAGAAATCTGTCGATCTCCTGACACTTTATCCGATTAATTCTCGAACCATGGCATCCAAGCGTAAAGCTTCAGCAATGGGAACGGCTGTTGACGATGAGCCCGTTGACCCATCAGACGAACTGGCGTTCTACTGCCTCGGCGGCGGCAATGAAGTTGGACGGAGTTGCCACATCCTGGAATATAAGGGCAAGACAGTGATGGTAAGTCTCAGCTGGAACAAGGAATAATGTCACGTATACTGACCCCCTTGACTTCTGTAGCTTGATGCGGGCATGCACCCGGCGAAAGAAGGCTTCTCCGCACTTCCTTTCTTTGATGAATTCGATCTGAGCACAGTGGATGTTCTTTTAATCAGCCAGTACGTGCATTTCTCTCTTATCTTACACAATATCCATCATGGCAAGCATGACTGGACAGGTATGAGGCACCTGGGTTATTTGGCAGTCTACTGCCCTCAGCTGCCTCAATGGAAGAACACATTCCCCTGCATATATATGAAAAGCCCAATACAATACAATTCAATGTCATGCATATATTTCTTGTATCACTGTACCTGATTGAGTCTCGAATTCGAGTGCTTTCTCCTTCAGCGTGTTTGTTTATGGCTATCGCACTTGACTAACGGTATGATCTGTATAGTTTCCACGTTGACCATTCTTCCGCCCTCCCATATGTTCTCAGCAAGACAAATTTCAAAGGAAGAGTGTTCATGACTCCGGCAACCCGAGCAATCTACAAATGGCTCATCCAAGACAATGTCCGAGTCAGCAACACATCATCTTCCTCCGATCAACGCACTACGTTATACACCGAGCGTGATCACTTGTCAACGCTTCCAATGATTGAAACCATCGACTTTTACACAACGCATACGATCAATGGCATCCGTATTACGCCGTATCCCGCCGGCCATGTTCTCGGAGCTGCCATGTTTAAAATTGATATTGCAGGCCTTGTGACTCTGTTTACAGGAGGTGAGTTTGCCTTGTTGCACCTCTTTTAATCTACATCGTTATCACTCAATTGCTAACCAACCGGCTAGACTACTCTCGCGAGGAAGACAGACACTTGATTCCCGCTGCGGTGCCCAGTGGCACGAAGATCGATGTTCTCATCACAGAATCTACATTCGGGATTTCATCTAATCCGCCTCGATTAGAACGCGAGGCTGCTTTGATGAAGTCAATCACGAGCGTTCTCAACCGCGGAGGTCGAGTTTTGATGCCTGTTTTCGCTCTCGGACGTGCCCAAGAACTGCTTCTTATCCTTGATGAATATTGGGAAACTCACCCAGAACTCCAGAAATTTCCTATCTACTACATCGGGAACATGGCACGACGATGCATGGTCGTGTACCAAACATATATTGGTGCGATGAACGATAATATAAAGCGACTCTTTCGGCAGCGCATGGCCGAGGCTGAGGCCAGCGGCAATAAGAGCGTGAGTGTCGGACCATGGGATTTCCGATTCGTCCGAAGTCTTCGCAGCTTGGAGCGTTTCGACGATGTTGGAGGATGTGTCATGCTTGCCTCCCCCGGTATGTTGCAGACGGGAACAAGCCGTGAGCTGCTGGAAAGATGGGCACCAAGTGATCGCAACGGCGTCGTCATGACCGGTTACAGCGTTGAAGGAACCATGGCTAAGGGATTGCTCAATGAACCTGATCAGATCCCGGCCGTCATGTCCAAGGTTTCCACTGGGCATGGTCGTGGTCGTGTTCCCGGAGTGAATGATGAGGATCAAAAAGTTATGATCCCTCGCCGTTGCACTGTTGACGAGGTCAGCTTTGCAGCCCACGTTGATGGCGTTGAAAATCGTACTTTTATCGAGGAGGTAGCAGCACCAGTTGTGGTGAGTGTGACATCCACCCAGCCTATTTGAAATTTTACTGACCGCCCCAAGATCCTCGTTCACGGCGAAAAACATCAGATGATGAGGCTGAAGTCGAAACTGCTCAGCCTTAACGCAGATAAAGCCGTCAAAGTCAAGGTCTACACCCCAGCCAACTGCGATGAAGTTCGCATCCCTTTCAAAAAGGACAAAATTGCCAAGGTCGTCGGCAAGCTCGCAGAGGTCGCGCCTCCATCGGAGAATGATGATGCCCATCTCATGGCTGGAGTCCTAGTTCAAAATGGGTTCAACTTGTCGTTGATGGCCCCTGACGATCTGCAGGAGTACGCGGGCTTGACAACTACGACTATCACGTGCAAGCAGCATATCACTCTTAGCTCCGCGAGCATGGACTTGATCCGATGGGCCCTCGAGGGAACTTTCGGGGCCATTGAAGAAGTTGGAAACAGCAAGAAGACCGAGGCCAACGGCAAGAACGACATAGATACTGATGACACCCTGAAGCAAGAGGATGCCGACGAGGAGATCCCATCGGACGAGACACAGAGATTCCTTGTCATGGGATGTGTGTACCTTCGCCATCACTCGCGTACCCGCGAAGTCGAGTTGGAATGGGAAGGTAATATGATGAACGACGGAGTGGCAGATGCAGTTATGGCTGTTCTGCTCACAGTCGAAAGCAGCCCGGCCTCCGTAAAGCGTATGAGTCCCTGTCCTTTTTCACCTCTTTACTTATGCTAACTACGATGGTTCTAGAATCGGCCAAAAACAAGCACAACCACCATCACCATGACGATGACGATATGGAAATTCCTTCACTTCCAAACCCTCATTCTCAATGTGGACCCCAAGAGCGGCTTGCTCGTATGCTGATGATGCTCGAGGCCCAATTCGGTGGCGACAACATTGGCCCCATTGAGCGCCCGCGAGTCCCGGCTGATCTCGCACTCGACCCACAAGGAGATGGCGAAGAGATGAACGAAGAACGAATTGCCGACATTGAGGCTGCGGAGCTGGACCGTCTTATCACAATGGGTGTTCCTGTTCCTGGTATTGAGATCAGGGTGGACAAGCATATTGCCCGTGTATGGCTCGAGGACCTTGAAGTCGAGTGTGCGAATGCTGTCCTGCGAGACCGCATTCGTGTAGTCGTCGAGCGGGCCATTGAGACTGTCGCTGGCTTGTGGGCAGAGAGCTCGATTCATAAGGACGCGACGCTTAGTGGCTCTGCCAACGGGCAAAAGTGGATTGAACTGGCTGACAGGAAGAAAGCGGCTGCCCTTGAGGCACATGCTTGATCTCTCTCATGTACTTGTATAATAATGAAATATCCCATCATCCACATGATTTGACTTGAATTTCTACAACTGCTTCGTCATTTATGTTTCTTCCGCTAGGTACTTTCCAACAAATGAAATTGATTAAATAATTGCACATTGCAAGGCTTATGAGAGTGGAGATTTGGAGTAGGTATAGAGCGCTCTATAGTGAGGCAAAAACTTCCTTCATAATTTTCTCCAGTGTGTCAACGATAATATCAATCTCCTCTTTCGACACGATATAAGGTGGCGCGAGTATAAGATGATCTCCTTTAATTCCATCCACGGTACCAGAGCAGCCATATAGCGAGACACTGTGCTCCGGTTGTAGACCCTTCTCCTGAATCCGATAAGACAGACCATGCTTGGGATCAAATGGCTCTTTCGTGGCCTTGTCTTTGACGAATTCAAGCTGCAAAGAGTTAGCCACACATTGAACTCTTTGGTCGCGCAATACCAACTATAGAAATATGCAACTTACACCCCAGAACAATCCTTTTCCACGAATATCTCCCACGTGAGGATGACTCTCGAATCGCCGCCTCAACTGTGTCTCAAGGTAAGCACCCATGGTCCGGACATTGTCCACAAGAGACTGTTCCTGAATAGTCTTTTGCACAGCAAACGCAGCAGCACACGAGATCGGATGGCCTTGGTATGTCTGTCCGTGGCGGAACTGCCCGGTGCCTTTGTCCATCGTCTGCACAATAGAGTCGCTAATCAAGACGGCCGACACAGGCGCGTAGCCACCACCCAGACCCTTTGCGATAGTCTGGATGTCGGGAACAATATCCTCTTGCTCCCAGGCATGCAAGGTGCCGCAACGGCCCATGCCGCTCATAATCTCGTCAAGGATCAAGAGAGCGCCGTGCTTCTCGCAAACGGCCTTCATTGCACGGAAGTACCCTGGTACTGCGGGGACACAGCCGAGAGCCTAATGAGTATAAGTTGGATGATCTGATAGTGTAGAGTCTAAGGAGGAAGTCATACCGCGCCGACAACCGGCTCTGCGACGAATGCACACACAGTTTCGGGTCCGACACGTTGGAATTCAGCCTCTAGCTCGGCTGCCAGACGTGCTACGTAGTCTGCATCGGACTCGGCGTCCCGCTTCCCACGGTATGCATAGCATGGGGAAACATGGGATACGTTCTTGGAGAGAAGCGGTTCAAATGGCTGCCGACGTTGAACGTGTCCACCTACTGAAAGGGCGCCCAGGGTGGTACCGTGGTAGGATGGAAGACGCGCAATGAACCTGGTACGCTCAGTTTGGGGGGTTGGAAGCTCTAAGAAATATTGCCGTGCCAGCTTAAGCGCAGCTTCGACAGCCTCAGACCCTGGATATCATCAGCACTGTATATGTGAACTGAATATTTGGTTCTTGGAAGGGCTCCCTTGACTCACCTGAGCTGGTTATAAAGACCTTGGATAGTTTTCCTCCGGTAGAGTCCACTAGGAGTTTGGCCAAATCCTCGGCCACCTGAGTTCCGAAGAAGGCAGAATGGCAGTAGGATATCTGGTCCATCTGGTTCTTGATGATCTGAGTGACCCGCTCGTTACCGTGTCCTAGACAAGATACAGCTGCGCCACCTGTGGCATCGAGGAATTTGGTCCCATCTTCCAGGAACACGTAGCACCCCTTGCCACCGATGGCTTTCTTCGGGACAAAGTGTGTGTCCCGGTGGAGAATAGCACTCGTCTTGGTCTCTGCGAAGCATATCAGAATGAGGAATATGACAAGATATTGCACGCATTCGACATACCGTTGGTCATGATTGAAGTTGAGAGAAATGTAATTGAGACAAATGATCCTTGAGGAGACGAAAAGCCTTATATAGCTGTGGATCTCTTCTTCGATGTTTAGCCCGAGGCAATCGTCCTGTTCTGCGGGGCTAAGTGGGTTCGGCATGCCGAAGGAAGATGCCGAGCTCTCAATTGGTCCGGGGGTGGAAGGGCGGACTTTTGGCCGACTTGATTTCCTATCTGGTCTATTTTATTGGAGGCGAAAGCTTTTGACATTTGGCAATGACTCATGTCCCGGGGATATGCCTGGGAAAGATATATATGTGCCTATCCCAAGAATACGGTTATAGTTTAGTTTAGGTTCCTAAATATAGCATAATAGCATATTATATAGCATGAGGTTGCTATTTCTTTGTAACGAAATATTAACGCAATGGATTTCACTAAGATCCAAGACTATTATGACAAATTATAGACATAACGTATTATACTATTAATGTTGACATGCACTCAGTTGAGCGTTGAACAATCCCCACGTCCCCACCGCCCGCACACTGCATTCTGCCCCTCTGACTTGGCCACAATTCCCGCGGCCTTCCCCAGACATCTCCCCATTCCACACATTCAACACAATGTCGCGTCACGCCCAAATCGAGGAAGTCTCTGACTCCGACCCAGAAGAGATCGCCCCTTCTTACGACTCCGACGAGGGTCTCCCCCGCAATGCGATCATCTCACCCGTAAATATCCCGACCAAGGCTGCACCTCAACCCCAACAACAGATGCCCATGCCATCGATGCCATCGACGCCAGCGCCTGAGCCTCAGCGCGAGATTCCCCGACACTTCTCATGCTTGTACCCTGTGTACTTCGACAAGACCCGATCACGCGCCGAGGGCCGCAAAGTCGGTGCGGAGCTCGCAGTGGAAAACCCTCTTGCGCGAGACATCGTCGATGCTGTCCAGATGCTTGGCTTACATGCGGGCTTGGAACCTGAGAAGCTGCATCCTAAGGATTGGGCGAATCCCGGTCGTGTGCGTGTGCAGGTTAAGAACGAGGATGGTCAATTAGCCAACCCGAAGATCAAGAACAGTACGTGGCTGATGTCTTTGATGGAGTGAATGTCTCTTTCTGTTGGAATTAAACTGACGTTGTTATTTAGAGCACCACCTCTATATTCTCGTCGCACAGTACTTGAAGGCTAACCCTACTACCGAAAAATCACCCTACCGGCTACGAATTCGTGGCCTGCCCATGCCTGAGAAGCTTCCAGCAGCCCCTTCTGCCCCACGGGGTTGGAAGATTGGGAAGATCTTACCTATCCATTCGCCTGCCTACAGCGGTGGTGGTGTCAGTGACAACCCCCTCAAGGACGCAATGGCCGAGATGCAGGGTATGGAGGGAATGCCTAACATGTCTGAAATGATGAGTCAAATGGGCGGAATGGGCGGACTGAGCAATATGCTGGGCGGACTAGGTGGAATGGGTGGAATGGGTGGAATGGGTGGAATGGGTGGAATGGGCGGAATGGGTGGTGAGCCCTCGGGGGCAGGTGCGGAAAAGAAAAAGAAGGAAAAGAAGAGGGTGATCAGAGCATGATTTTAGCATGTCCTTTATTCCGTGTTCCACTTGCATTGTATGGCGATGGGCGTTGCTTTTGTCTCCTGATTTCCGATGCACTCGAGAAAGGAATACTTCCTGGATACCACGGACTTGCATCCGAATTGATCTCATTGTACATCCACCTCAAATTGTCTCCGGTATCTACCTGGGGTTCTATGACCAAGTTTGTATGATACCTATACCTACATTTCACGCCCACCAGTAGATGCCTATAAACTATTGAGAGAGCTACGAACAAACAAATCTAGAAAATAATAGTGGCTATAGCATATAAATATCGATTATAGCGCCTTAAATCCAGTTATTATATAACAACAGGCTAGCCTGTATAATTCACTCTGCATATGATGGCAAATCCACTTTGTCTTGTTCCAGCACCTCAAACTCAGAGAACGAAATGTCACACCCGAGATGCCGTTTAAGCAGTTCGTGGACAACGAAGCGTTCTGGGGTGTTACCATGCGCATCGACAAAGCTAGCTCGCGGCTTTGCCTGGCTCATTCTTTGCAGCTCATTTGCATAGCGATGGTGGTCTAGGGGTCTCTCCACACCAATCAGGCAGACTGTGACATATACCCAAGATGAGCCAAGAAGATCGAGCTCAAATTCATGTATGTCGATAGCTTCACCGTCAACTACAATAAGCAGTCTCAGTATTGGTGTCTTTGGGCCAGCCTGCCAACCATACATCGGGTGGTGCGTTGCTGTTTCGGTATATTGTTGCAGATGAAGGTCTTTAGACTTTTGCCAACCAGGCATAATTTGTAGCTCTCCCCCAAATTTCTTACCTGATCAGATCTCTTCCAGATTCCCGGGGTTGAGACAGCCCATACTACGCGCCTGGTCCGCAACTGCAATAAGGTGATAGCCGTGAGGGGAGCGGTCATTGTTGAGCGTCGCTTGGGTGGATCGACGTGCGAGAGCCTTAGCGGTGTCCTAAGGGGCCTGAAAGGCGAAGGTGGGACCTGCTTCGAGTAGCCCTGATTATTGACGCACTGAAGTTTGCAGACTCGCGAGGTGAAAAGTACTGAGAGGGTATTTCAATGGCGGATTCCATTCTAGAGCGGGCCATACTTCTCAGTGAAATAACATCCAGCTTCGTTCGCGGTTGAGAAACACCGCTACTGTGATTCAGGACCCAAAATAGGCGCTCCTCCGCTGTATTTCGATATCCTCTCCAAGCAGGGGTAATTAATTCCTCTCCACCTGGACACTGCATCCAATCGTGAACTTGAGCGGAGAGTAACCTCTTGCCCACGAAGCCGGTATAGGCTCAAAGTATCCTGCTCGAAGTAGGTGGAGGTACTGAATTGGGTGCTGGGCTCGAAGATGGCCAATCTGTTCACTCATGCCAACTGTCTCCTGATAGGCTGCTACTAGCTGCCGCCATGCTTGGGTTGGCCATCTAGCCTCCTCCTCTTCCAGAATGGCACTTCGCAGCGCTCTAGCGTGAGAAATATCTAGCCTTTGCTCAACTAGCTTCGTTGGTGAAGCTTATTTCAACGCTGTCAATTTCGACCCTTTGGGCCTCTCTGTAGGTGGAGCTGAGTGGTCATCCTGAAAACTGTGACCATGAGCAGTCATCTCCCTGGTGTTTGAAGACGAGGTGGTATCATTGGTATATGGGGTTTCGGTCTCCCACATGTTAACTGCCATCTCTATAGCCTCGATGGTAGCTTGTGCTTTAGTGTTGAGAGACATGTTCAACTTTATGACTTCCGAAGGGCACAAGTCATAGTAGCGTGGAACAGGCTTTGCCCTTCTGTAGGGGCCTGGGGTGTTTATCCCAAATGGCGATGGGATACGGCTATAAGGGGACTCGCCGAATAGAATCATCTTATCATAGTCATTATAAGCGGTTTCTCCTGCGTGAGATAAATATACCTAGTTAGAAACGTGGACCCGATACAGCTGAGAAGGTTGGACTTGCGGCTGACCTGGATACATGACTGCTTTTGACCACATCTCGTGAATGTGAAGCCTGGACACTTTTTTTCTCCTTTTATTTGTGTATATCGCACTCACAATGGAAGTTCTCCACATGGTGATCTGGCTCAATGTCCGCATCGAAAATGTGATTCGCTCTCTTAATACGACGCAGCGTGGCTTGCATATCTTGCTATCACACCAAGCAAACATTAGCACTTCATTGAGCGGTAATGATATCACAACATACTTCGTCTTGCAGCGATGGCTTGCTACTTCGTTGAAAGCACTACTGTGATGAAGTACCGGCTCCCTTGTCGCGTCTCGGAGCGCATACGGCGGGGGACGGTGGGCTCGTATGTCTGCATCTTCGGTGACCTCGCAAGGATTCACTTGGTTTGGAATACTTTATGCTGTAGCTCTAGCCCGGTGCTCAAAGTACTGACCTATGACATCATCTATGCTTTCTGCTCCCTTATTGGTGAAATGCGTTAGTATAAGTTGAGAGGCGACCAAAGTATCTTACCTCGAGAATCCTCAGGGCAGTACCTTCATTGACTTCTGGAATAATAGCGATGAACTCCAATATGGCACCTTTCGAGGGTATCATTGTTGAAGATACAAGGTTAAGGCCCACTGGATTTTGCGAAGCAAAGTTGTAGAGGCAGTGTTCTATAAAAGTTTCGTTGAAACTCGCGGGCAAGTCTACAGTATCCTTCTCAGGTAGTGCGTGGTAGTGAAATGACACACTTACATGGGTGGATTCCCTGTAGTATTTTGTCCTGTCATATTTCTTTTCTTCGGCCCTGTGTCTAGTGTATATGCTTGAGTGGGACCTGGCGTAGTGGCTTTCGAAGAAACAACCAATAGCAGGAGACCTTCCTATCTTTTAATATATTGATTTCAACTACGGAGTACTCCGTAAAGTCTTTCGAATTAGCTAATACCCTGTGGTTGGCTAACTATACTAGTGTCTATATTGTATAGTGCCCAAGTGGGTATGCTTAAGCACCACAATTATAACTGCTTCGTTACTGGTAGTTTACAATCATTATCCATAGATGAGCTGGTGACCTCGTGAGGCAATTTCAATTTGATTGCGTTCTAGGTGACCGGGTCACCAGGTCATACTCCCTAGTAATGACTACAGGACTAATACATAGTGACTAGTAAGGACTAGAACGTATATTCTGTGACCTCTCTGAAGAGCCATGGTTGGTAAAGGCAATTACAGGTCTCTTAATGTACCTACAGTCTGTTAATGGGACTTCACATGTACTTGCTTTGGTAGCTGCGTTTATTTCGTGGGGTTGGACATAGCTCGGGAGGGAACAAGAAAGGTTTATCATACGCCCATGCAAGGGGAAGCTTGTACTCAAGTAGCTAAAAATGGACATGTTCGTGGATGTCATTATAATGCAGTGCGTCTGTGTCTTTCGGGCGTCCTCCATTTCTGTACTGCCAGAGCCGGCTGAAGTCCTTCACACGCAGTACTTGATCCACACCATTGGTTTGTGACCGTTGCTGGCTCAGTACGACGGGAAGAAACGCCTCGTCTCGGGCCATAGTGGGTTGATATCTGACTCGGTGCGGAGGGCCATCATATCCGTTCATACCGTTTATACCTGCGGTTGCCCATGGCTCGACTTCCATATCCATGAATGGATTGGAGTCAAGGACGTTCATATCAGGGCCTAGAGTAAACATGTTGTCTAGGTAATGCGTGTTGAAGAGGTGGCCTGAATTCGGGCGGACGAACAGGCGGCCCATATATCGATTTGGGATGTCCACAAAGTGGAGCACTCCGCCCAGAGCCACAATGTCGCCTGCATTAGCGTAATGCTCAATATAGCCGATGGACTGACCAAATTGTTGCACTAGACCAGGTGTTGGAGTCCTTTGTGGTCTTGTACGCTTTGTCCATCGCGGGTTGTTGAAGTGATTCGCGGCATTTCCGAATGTATATACCTCCAAGTGATGAAGGAGATCGTGTGGTAGCTCATCCAGAAGCCAGTCTAGGACAAGTCCCCCTTCAATACCGCCTTGACTGTGAAGAAGCAGAACCACCTTGTCACATTCTGGGTCCAAGAGAGCTTCCTTAACCAAGGCATAAGATTGTCGTATATCGCCAGTAGCGTATGCAAAATCCCGTTGAATCAAGCATTCGATGAGATCGAAGACAATGCCCGCGCTAATTCTCATTAGTGCTTGGAAACATGAGGTCAAAGGAGTCACTTACGTGCGGTTGTGCACGCCCGTCACTTTCCGACCAAAGATGTATGACAGTTGATCGATGTTCATCTGTACCCAGTGGTGCCTACATGTAGAGGTAGTTAGAGTCAGCAACTGAAGACACGGAATGAGGAATATCTCTCTTACCCAGCTGCAACTCCATTTATATACAGCCAACGCTCCCGCTCATGACCTGGTCGCTCGACCACAGGGACTTGGGATACCAGGACCTGCTGGAACCCGTTCAACATCAACATGACAATGGCATAATTGGTAGAGAAAGCAATAGCAGCATAAGCAAGAATCCATATTCCCGGGACCATACAGACAACCATTATCGGCAGCGAGAGCAGGAAAACAAGTTGATAGACTACGAGAAATATATGGATCAACAGAGTAGCTCCATTGCGTAACGACGGATAGAGTTCATCCAACTCATGGGTGCGAGCTAAATTCAGGGGCAGTAGGATACCTGGAAGTGCCCATAACTTTGAAACAAACAGGGACAAGTCGCTCCAGAGCAAGTTGATGGGTGAGGCAGTGTAGGGCAACGGAGTACCCTCCTTATCCTGACAAGTCATTGTGGAACGCCAGGAGTCGAAGAGTAACGTTGAGATGAGAATGAAAAAGTAAAAGAAAAATAAAATAGGAAGCCTTGTCTTGTCATGTGATACCGACGGTGCCTGCCTTGGTGAGATCTATAGCCCAGGTGACTACATCAGCTGATTGATCTATCTATAGGATGGACTGTTTTCAAATATGGCCTTTTGTTTCCTTTCATATTTAGTGATTAAAGTACTATTATTGACATTCTTTCATTCCTTGTCCCATGAGACTTATATCTCCGTCATCCCGCAAACATGGGCGAGTTTGCAATCACCACGATGGATGTTCTGCTAATAGTCAAAGCAAAATTAGATATAGACCGAGATCACAGTACAATAGGAAAGGGGAATATTAACGAACAATGTGACGCTTTTTTCGAACATTGTTCCCGCGGAACAGATATCTTCGGTTGATCTTCATCCCGGCATGGCGCATTTCACTTTGATGCCATTGAGCAATTGCCTTGGCCGCGCCGGCAATCGAAACATCGGTAGGATTCCAGTATCCTGGGACACGTAGCGATAGACACCATTTGACATCGTGATGGACGGGTTCGGACGAAATGATACCGTCTCGGGCGTTGATGCGAGCTACCACAAGATCCATCAATTCTTCGTCGTTGTATTTGTGATCAGCCCAGTTGAAGAAGACAGTCACCCATTGGTTTGCTCCAGGCAGACGGTGCTCCTCGCGGATGTTTCGCCCGTTTGGATAATTGAACATTCCTCGAAGCTTGGTGCGCTTCTTTACTTTCTTTGTGACTCGACAGGAGTCAATGGCCGAGACTTGGTTTCCCATGGTAGAAATGTCTCAAGTAGAGAATAGAGATCGGTAAGACAGAAACCTAAGAAAGAAATGAGACGAAAGGATGAGACTATGAGACATGGCAAGTCTAATATATCGAATGAGACGAAAAGAACAAAGACCATTGATAAGTTCTTTAATAGCACAATTCATTGTGGTTGAGCCGTAGACCTATCAATAGGGTCATTTTCTTTGACTATCGCAGATGTGAACACCAATAGGACACCACAATGAGACTTTTGTTCTCTTTGAGGGCTGAAAAGGCATTGTTTACTGGGGTCCATATTAAGATGAAAGCAAATCGAGACAGTCAACTTCATAGGGAGTATATAGATATCCTTCTCAAGACTGAATTATTCTCTCCAACAGAGTATCGAGACCAATCCCAAACCCTTTATTCAGCCCAGTAGGGGGCGTGCACACGAGTAAACGGAGACAATCCAGTGACTACATCCCATTCCAAACAAGTATGACTTGAAACTGACCTACAAACCCCATATTGCTTTCATTTAGGATAAGCATATATCGTCTGAAGTCTACCGCAGGGATACCACAACCCAATCCTCATTTAACACGGCGATAACCAAAAGCAATGGGGAAAAATGGAGGGTGGTTCGGAAACAGAGAAGACACAATCGGTAGACGTAGATCCCTTTTCTCAGGACAAGGAGGCACCCGGTTTGTCACTGACCTGAGAAGGGACGAAGTTATAAAGCTAACAGAAATCCTGCACATAGACAACACAAGAGCGAGACACACGGAGGAGGTCGTCAAGCGCATGATCCACGAGCTGCCAAAGCATATGCGCCGTGATCGCTGGTCAAGAACGAACAAGAGTTTGTGCGATGCCCATCAGGGTCTGAACGCAGACCTCATGGCCGATGTGTTCAATCTTGTCCAGAGGGAGGTCGGCCACCACCTTCGCAAGTTTGACGCGTACCCGGAATTGCTGAAGCCTCTCGATATATTGATCCTGCAGAAACTACAGGCTATGCAGGGCATGTGGGAGAAACCTGACCCGAAACGCAAGGCTGTCCCAGAAGCATGGCAGTATGAGACCAGCTGCTGTCAGGGGTGCATGGTGGCTCGGGTTGCGAGTGACAAGAATGCGCTGCGCAATCTTCGAATAGCCCTGCTCTCTCGCACGCAGACTCGTTCGAATCATGCTCCACGAAGACTGATGAAACTCGTCAACACCTGTATTGACCTATTCCCTGATTATGTTGATGAGTTATATGGCACATCTAGCCAGTTTGCATTCATCCTGAAGGATACCCGCAAGGCCTGCAGCAAGGCCTGGTCCAAAGACCCAGCACACGTGGATTCGAACACAGAGCGCAGGCACACCGATCATGAGAAGATCGACAAGGACAAAAATGGCAAAAGTGGAAAGTGTGGAAAGAGTGCACGTAGCCATGGCCCAGCTAGTGAGTATAACCCGAGGAAGAAGTATCCCCAGCCACCACCAGTAGTCGCATCATCCCATCCTGCGGAAAGGTATGTACCCGAATCTTCCTCGTCATCTCAATGTACTGACACTGACACCGAAGGGCGCAGAATATCCCGACGTTGGGCCCTTCAAGGAAGGCTTCGACATCATCGTACCACATGAAGCGAGATCGATTACCAGACCAAAACCCGGATCGTGTGACAAGATTTATGGATTTCGCCGATGGCGACTATCAAGGCCTAGGAATAAGCATAGAAAGGTGGAGTGCAAGCACCGTCTATGGACCTCCTGGAAACCCCCCGTCACCTAGCACCGCTAGCAATTTCTTGGGAACCATGGAGGAGATCGACGGATTGCTTGAGATGTACAAGGGTATGGGAACAAATCCCTACTCGCGAGGCACGCGAGACTGCCCAGTACATGGGACTAGGGGCGTTCAATCAGAGTGTCGCTCCCCGTCGATCTGTTCCACTGACAGTGATTGGAGTGATGGAGATGAAGACCGGAGAAGGCCAGAAAGTAGCTCATCAGCGAGGACTACTTGGAACCTGGTGTGTGAACAGTCGAAAATGATTTGATCTCTCCTAGTCACTTTCATTTCTTTGTCGTTGCATCGTTTTGTTTCTTGAGTTCTCTCGCTGTCATTTCCTTTTTGATGCCTTTGCGATTGAGACTTTCTGATATAACTCTGTTTTTCTTTGTTATTGTATGTCAAGGTCTGGTCAGAGTCGGGTGTTTGAGCATAGTTCGTGATATTTGCAAATGTATCGATACCGAATACCCAGAAAAAAATGTAAATGGCAAATAATAGACATTATTGACAGTAGGTCATAGAGCGAACCATGTACAAATCATTGACTGGCGCATTCTGAAGTATTAATACATTGGGCCTCTGATCCCATATACAAAAAAATGACGGAAAGCCCCACAGTCTGGCGGAGACGGCCAGCAGCTCCAAGGACGGGGTTGGGGGATGCATAAAAAAAATCAACACACGCTCGGGATTTATTTCGTCAAGGCTTTAATTGTGGAGAACACTTCCAGGAACCCCATGACTCGGGCCCTTGAGACTATCAACAGTCTTTCGGCGCAGCCGAGTGCGGGTCGCAGGACCCTCAGGTGATACCACTACCCGCTCATGTTCACGTTCCTCGGACACAGTTAGAGTCGGCATGGTATCAGGCGCTTGGGCAGCATCCAGATCCACCCGCTTCTGGGCATTCTCTCGAGCTCGTTCGTAGCGCAGCTTGACCTCACCAGTCCACTGAGTGCCAAGAAGGCGGTCCCAGAATATGAAGAAAGGCTGGGAGAAGTTGGTCTTGATACCCCAGCTTTGGTGATGAATGTCGTGGTAGGCGGCATTGTTAGAGGTAAAATGCTGCAGTGGGTCCCAGGGGAAGGCATAGCCACAGTGATCGTCAACGGTTTTGATAGTCGACATTGTAAAGAACCACATAGCCTGGCGGGTGGTCATGCCGGAGATCAAGAATCCAATACCAGTGCCGGCCGTATCCAGGAGGAATCCCTCAACTGGGTGGTTGTAGAGGGCGCCGAAGGCATAGGGAACGTAAAGACGGTGATGCCGGGAGTGGAAAGTCACTAACAGCTGGTTAGTACGGAACCATTAATCAACTTCGAAACGTCGGGCATACCATAGAGCCACCGGTTCATATGCATAGCGCGGTGGAGGAAGTACTGCCAAGTATCCACAATGGAAATCGCCAGCATGAACTGGAGGGTGGGTACAAAGTACCAATATATGAAACCGGCAACTGCAAGTTCCCAGCTCGTGAACGCGGGAGCTATAGCCTCGGCTCCGTTGTCGAGGATTATGGACTGGGTCACACCGGGGAATGATCCACCAGCAAGAACTCCGGCCAGCATGGTATAACCGCTTTGGGAGACAGATTTTCCAAGACTAAGGGCGTCAACTCCAACAAGAGCTAATAATGACGGAACAGCCTTCTGCGCGATCCGCAATCGCTGCGCCCAGATGGCCACATCATACTCCTCTTTCCCAACAGTTTCCTCGGCATCAAAATATACGAACGCAAAACCGGCCAGGGTTTGAATCACCTGTTGTAAGACAACATCCCGTACAACCTCCCAGCGAGTCACTTTGTTTCGTTTCAGGACTTCTGCGGGGGTGTGGAGCCGGTATTCGACGAAGTAATCATTGACATCGAGGTAATGATAGATCATGGACATGCCCCAGTAAGCGACGACAGGCAATATAAGCGTAAGGATACTGTCAGGAAGAGGAGCAAGAAGATGCTCTCGCGCGGTCAAGGTGTAGGTTGGTAGGGGAGGAAGGTCGAACGCGACTGAGGCGTTCACAGCCATGACGAAAGAATGGCGATGCGTTGAGGTTTTAGTAGGACAAAGAATCCAAGAACGAGGATCAAAGGGATTTGGGATAGTGAAAATGGCCCCAAGGTCAGGAATCAAGTAAAAGAGAGTGGACGTCTGCAACTGCCCACCGTCCGGATGCTGACGGGTAGGCGCGACGCAGGATGATTCCGATCAGTCAGAGACCTCTCGGCGCTGGCCGGTACATACAAAAGGAAGTATGTAAAAAAAACAAAGAGAATCAGATAATGATAATGAAGGAAATATTAGGAATGCTCGAAGAAGATAAAAGATAAACGTTCAGATCAGGAGACGCCGGATTCGGGTGGCGCGAGCCCGAAGACGATCCAATACATGTAAAGACGGTATCTTTGGTTAATTCCCGGGGAAAGTGACCAAATACAGTACGGTATGGTATCACATGGGCTGATGCTGACTCAGTTCTATACTTCGGCCTGGGCAGTCCTGAAGGAAAGGAAATTGGTTGCAATAGTGATGACGAACATCAATTGATCGAAATTGATCATTTCATTCCGTTTGTCTCTTACAATTGAACATATCTCAATCTTTCTGGTATTTATATGTGCCATTTTTACCCGAAAAATGATACTGCATCTGCGAAGTACCTTGAAGTACCCAATACTGCG